CCTCCCTCCCTCCCTCCCTTTCTCCCTCCCTTCCCCCCCCTCTCTCCACTGTTTTTGCAATGCTCATTTGGGTATCCACCTAATCTCTATGTCTCTCGATGCAGGCTTGTTCTCTATGTTTTTGCCGCACATGGTGTGCCTCCTAACCAGCCGTACTGCCTCTCCACCGCTTGGAAGAGGTTGACCAATCGCCGGGGCGGTCTAGATTGCTTCTGATGGGCCCTAGGGAGGAAAACCCCAGGATCCACTTTTCTGTCTGATGCTCCAGAGGTTGTTTGGACCGGGAATTCCAGAACCTCCATTCAGGGATGGCCTCCTAAGACCTAGAAGAGCACAGCAAGTCTAGTTGAGAACTTTGAGAAGGTCCCTCAGCCACCATGCATGGAGTATCACCATGCCTTCATGGCCACCTGCAGCTGGGGACCCGCCTCCTGCTTCTCTTCTATCCATAAGTCCCCCCCTGATCAACCGAGAGGCCACCCTAGACTCCTCAACCAAAGAGTTCGGGCCTACACCTTCTCTGTCCTGAACTTGTGACATGGAAAACCGTCACCAAATGGTCTCCCGATGCTGAAGAAGCGAGACGACGCACCGCAATGAAGTTCTTCTAGGAACTAGCATGTTTGGTCCTCGCCCAAAAAAAGACCAACTGGCTGTCCCTGGGCTCTACAAAGCCCTCAGATTGTCTACGTCGCCACCAGATTCCTCCACAGACCTCAGAAAATCCATATCTTCTGATATTCCAGGTGTCCAACCCATCCCCAATTCTCTGGACTTCCGACTAGACAACACAGATTCTTGAGGAACATCAATAGATAATTCCTGGACCATTGCTTTATTTGTAGTTGGAAGACTATTTTTTTGGGGGGGGGGAAGGGTTCTTACATACTAGAAAGAGCAGTGAATCTGTGCTCAGAATATTCCACAGACGAATTTTTCCCCACACACATTTTGCACTTTTACACCCGCGACTTTTCCACTAAACTTTTAAGTTATAACCCGCCGCACGTTCGTGATACCACTCAATGTTGGGCTGCCCCTACCGCTAGCTTCCATCCGCCTTCAGCGATCCTGCCACGAAACCTTCCAATTCCTCCTCGTTGCTCCCCGGAGCTGATGCCCAACGGTAGCCAAACGCGCCGGCATTAGCAAAATTGGAATTGCAGTTCAGCCGAGCGAGGAGGCTCCCGGCCAGAGACGGGGAACGGCTTGCCAGATCGATGTCTGGCCGTCCAGAGAGAGCTATGGAGGACTGAAGCCGGTCTGGGTGGAGCCTCGTCATGTAGAAACGACTTCGCCGGGCAGGGGAGATGCGCACCGGGACACGGAGATAACTGCAGCCCGACTGGCCGGGGACAAACATTACATGAATGTCCAACGGAGGCAGATTTGAGTTTGATGATGGAGGCTGTTATGTGGGCGACTGGGAAGAGGGCCGGGCCCATGGCTACGGGGTGTGCACAGGCCCGGGCGCCCAGGGGGAGTACAGCGGGCGTTGGAGTCGTGGCTTTGAGTCTCTGGGCGTCTACACTTGGCCCAGCGGGAATACCTACCAGGGCTTCTGGAGCCAAGGGAAGCGCAGTGGCCTGGGCGCGGAGCGGAAAAGCAAGTGGAGTTACAAGGGGGAGTGGTGCCACGGGCTGAAGGGCCACCTGGGCATCTGGGAAAGCCACTCGGGCGTTGTCTACGAAGGCATGTGGCGTGAAGGTCTTCAGGATGGCTACGGGATGGAGACCTACGCGGACGGAGGTGAGTCAGGAGAACAGGTCAAGAAGGGGGGGGCAGTGCGGGCTGGGCCGTTGTTTCTTCCCGGTCTGGTGGTCCCGATGTCGTATCTGTCTTCTGATTGCCCACTTGGCCCATGACGGGGTGCCCCTGTCCAGTTCTCCTCCGTAAGTGTTGAGGGGCAATCAGAGAAGAATCTGGATTCTTTCCATCTCTCCATACACTTTTTGTATACGGTTGCTTCATTCCTTTGTGATGGCGAACCAATGGCACACGTGCCACAGGTGGCATGTAGAGCCCCCTCTGGGAGCACGCCAGCCCAGCTCCACTGCACATGTGCGCACGCCTCCTGCCAGCCAGCTGGCCTTTGAGACTCTGCGGCACATGCGTGGGGGGCGGGGCCTTCCCTGATCTCTGTAGTGTTACCCCCCCCAGCGCGCCCTCCCTTTCTACTCCATTTCTGCCGCCCGCACCAACCTGGAAGCCAGAAGGGGGCACCGGGGGCCCAGGGCGCATGTGTGTGTGGGGGAGGGTGTATGTGCATGTGTGGGGGTGGAGTTCCAGAGTTGAAGTCCACAAGTTTTAAAGTTGCCAAGATCTAGAAGTTCCTCTAGAACACCATTTGTGTCCCAGGATAATGGGAGGTGGTGATTGTGGTGGTGATGGAGGTGGTGAGGATGATGATGATGTCAATGGCAATGGGGGTGATGGTTGTTTCCACCCCTCTTGCATACACTGTCCATACATGGTTGCTTTGTTTTTTCATCTTGAGGTTCCTCTAGAACACCATCTATGTATCTCAAGATAATGATAGAGATGATTAGTGGTTGAGGTGGTGATGGTGATGGTCGTGGTGGTTGATGTGGCCCATAGAAAGTTGGTCACATTTCTCCACATACTTGTCATTCACCCTTGCTCCATCTCTTCATCTAGATGTTCCTCTGGAACACCATCTGTGTGTCCTAAGATAATGGGTGGGAGGTGGTTGTGGTGGTGTTGAAGAGGGTGAGGATGGTGGTGGTGGTGGTGATGATGGCAATGGAGGTGATGATTCTTTCCACCTTTCTCACACACACTGCTCAAACACCGTTGCTTCGTGTCTTCATCTAGAGGTTCCTCTACCACACCATCCGTGTGTTCCAAGATTGGTGGTTGTGATGGTGGAGGAGATAGTGCTTGTGGGTGATGCGGTCCATAGAAAGTTGGTCAGATTGTATATTTTTTATTCACTCTTGCTCCATCCCTTCATCTAGAGGTTGCTCTAGAATACCATCTCTCTATCCAAAGATGATGGGTGGAGATGGCTGTGGTGGTGATGGAGCTGGTGAGGACGATGATGGTGATGATGATGTCAATGGTGGTGATGGTTCTTCCGACCGCTCTCTCACACACTGTTCTCACACGGTTGATTCGTTTGTCTTCTAGATGTTCCTCCAGAACACCATCTCTGTACAAAAATAATGGGTGTAGATAATTGTGGTAGTGATGGAGGTGGTGAGGAGGAGGATGGTGATGATGATTTAGCAATAGCAATAGCAGATTTTTATATACCGCTTCATAGGGCTTTCAGCCCTCTCTAAGCGGTTTACAGAGTCAGCATATTGCCCCCAACAACAATCCGGGTCCTCATTTTACCCACCTCGGAAGGATGGAAGGCTGAGTCAACCCTGAGCCGGTGAGATTTGAACCGCTGAACTGCTGATCTAGCAGTCAGCTGAAGTGGCCTGCAGTACTGCACTCTACCCACTGCGCCACCTCGGCCTCTGATGTCAGTCGTGTAGGGTTTCCTGCCTAAGCAGGGTGTTGGACTAGAAGACCTCCAAGGTCCTTTCCAACTCTGTTATTCTATTCTATTCAATGGTAACGATAGTTCTTTCCACTGCTTTCACACACAACATTCACACAACATTGCTTCATGTCTTCATGTAGAGGTTCCTCTAGAACACCATCTGTGTGTCTCAAGATAATGGGTGGAGGTGGTTGTGGTGTGGGCGATGTGGCCCATAAAAAGCTGGTCCAATTTCATCGTAGAGTTAGTTTCAAACTCAACTGGGTGATACAACGTAGCAGGTTTTCACACACACGTTGCACATCCGCTTCCAAGCAACCCTAACCCTTGAAGGACCTACGCAGGTCCTTCACTCTTACGTAGGTCCTCACCCATGACTTTACTCTGTGGTCTCCAACACAAACATCTGGGCTTCTTGATCCAGTTTCCATACACCAAGACGGTTCTCCTTTCTTGGTAGGTCTGAGAAGGCCTGAGTGGTTTTCTTCAGCTGGACAAGAAATGTTGGACATCTCTTGTCCAGGAGATGTGGAATGTCCTTCGCCTTCTTTGGTTGACCTCACCTTTCCCTCCATTGCAGGTACTTACCAAGGCCAGTGGCAGTCCGGCAAGCGTCATGGGTATGGAGTACGCCAGAGTGTCCCGTACCGTCAAGCCACCCTGGTGCGCTCCCCACACCGGACCTCCCTGGAGTCCCTCCACAGTGAGGCTGATCACAATGCCCCTGTGGTACCTCTCCCTCCTCCTTCGCTGCCTCCTCCGCCACTCCCTGGGGACAGCCCCGCCTCAGGATCCAGGGGTGGCTTTGTGTTAGCTTTCCCTGGAGATCCGGACTTTCCCAAGGGGACCAAGAAGAAGAGCGGAGGGTTCTTCCGGCGGTCCTTGCTCCTGAGCGGGCTAAGAGTGCGGAGGGCCGAGTCAAAAGCCTCTCTGGGCAGCAAGCGAGGGTCCCTCAAGAGTGAGGCAGGGGTCAGTTCAGCGGGAAGTGAGGCCACAACTCTCAGCTACGCCGAGACCGAACCTCCTGAGCTGCCTTCAACTCTCACCATTGAAGGTTCCTCCACCGAGGTCTACGCGGGAGAATGGCGGGCCGACCGGCGCAGTGGCTACGGGGTGAGCCGTCGCTCCAACGGGCTGCGGTACGAGGGCGAGTGGCTGGGGAACCGGCGACACGGGTACGGGCGCACCACCTACCCCGACGGTTCCAAAGAAGAAGGGAAGTACAAGCTCAACCGGTTGGTGAGCGGGAAGGTGAAGAACCTCATCCCGCTTCGACGGAGCAAAGTCAAAGAGAAAGTGGACCGCGCGGTTGAAGTGGCCCGGAGAGCGGTCAGCATGGCTCGTCAGAAGCAAGAATTAGCCATCGCCAGGTAAGAAGGGAAACTGGAGGTGGGGTGGGGGGGAACAGGACAGAGACTAGCACATTCCTACAACCCTCTTGTTGAATGGTTTTCACTCAACATTTGACACAGAAGAAGGTTGTCTTGCCTTGAAGGAATCTTCAACATGCGGGTGGAGAATGATTGAATCGATGAGGTGTCCTCCTCACTGAAGTCTGTGAACATCAGCAGATGTTCTCCTTCCATAGTCTAGATCAGGGATGTCCAAACTTGGTCACCTGAAGGCTTGTGGCCTTCAACTGGGAGGCTCGCGGCCTTCAACTGGAAGGCTTGCGGCCTTCAACTGGGAGGCTCGTGGCCTTCAACTGGAAGGCTCGCGGCCTTCAACTGGGAGGCTCGCGGCCTTTAACTCGGAGGTTTGATGACTTCAACTCAGAGGCTTGCGGCCTTCAACTGAGAGGCTCGCGGCCTTCAACTGGAGGCTCGCGGCTTTCAACTGGAAGGCTTGCAGCCTTCAACTGGAAGGCTTGCGGCCCTCAACTGGGAGGCTTGTGGCCTTCAACTTGGAGGCTCGCGGCCTTTATCTCGGAGGCTTGATGACTTCAACTTGGAGCCTCACGGCCTTCAACTGAGAGGCTCGTGGCCTTCAACTGGGAGACTTGAGGCCTTCAACTGGGAGGCTCACGGCCTTCAACTGGAAGGCTTGCGGCCTTCAACTGGGAGGCTCGCGGCCTTCAACTGGGAGGCTCGCGGCCTTCAATTCGGAGGCTTGTAGCCTTCAACTTGGAGGCTCGCGGCCTTTAACTTGGAGGCTTGATGACTTCAACTCGGAGCCTCGCGGCCTTCAACTGAGAGGCTCGCGGCCTTCAACTGGAAGGCTCGCGGCCTTCAACTGGAAGGATTGCGGCCTTCAACTGGGAGGCTCGCGGTCTTCAACTCGGAGGCTTGAGGCCTTCAACTGGAAGGCTTGCGGCCTTCAACTGGAAGGCTTGCGGCCTTCAACTGGGAGGCTCGCGGCCTTCAACTCGGAGGCTTGAGGCCTTCAACTGAAAGGCTTGCGGCCTTCAACTCGAAGGCTTGAGGCCTTCAACTGGGAGACTTGCGGCCTTCAACTCGAAGGCTTGTGGCCTTCAACTCCCAGAATTCCCCAGTGAGCCGCGGCTGGCTGGGGAATTCTGGGAGTTGAAGCCGCCACAAGTCTTCAAGTGGCGAACGTTGGAGACCCTCAGTTCTAGAACTAAAACGAGCGTCACGTCAGGGAGAACATTTCTAACCAACTCATTTTGACGCCAAGGTTTTTGCCAATTTTATTCCCAGCTTCTGCCTCGGCATTAAAACCGATTCGTTGGAAAACAAGTTCCTAGCTTCATTCTGATTTTTGAGGACTATTTTTTGATAGAGAGGAGACAGGATTACAGATGGTCAAGAGAAGAATTTCTCCCTCCCTTCCCCTCAGCGGGAGCCATTTTAAAAAAAAGAAACAGAAGAAAAATTCTCTCTGGGGTGTTTTTGGGAGAGTCCCACACAGACTTTAGCGTGTAAAAAAAATAATCCATCCTCATCAGGCCTCCCGGGTGGAAAATTCGTTATAAAAATAATTTGGGGCTGATGGGAAGGGATGAAAAGGCTTGTGGTTGTGGTTGTGGTTGTGCGTGTTAGGTGTGTAGACTTTGGCTCCAGGCCTCAAAATTAAGAGAGAAAAGATGAACTGAGGCATTTTTTTTAAGACTATCCCTCTTTTTTTTCTTCTCTTTTTTTCTGTCTGCATTTTCTTTCTTTTCCGTCTTTTTCCTGTTCTGCCTATATTTTCCTCATTCACCGAATCTTCTTTCTCTTTTCCTTTTTTAAAAATATTCCCTTTTATATCCCTTTTCTAGCTGTTTTCTTTTCGTATCCCCTCCTGCCCCCTAATCAGGCCACCCTCCCTCCCTCTCTCTCTCTTTCACACTCTTTTTCTCTTTCTCCCTCTTTCTTTCTCTCCCTCTCTTTTTCTCTCTCTTTCTCTGCATCTTACTCTCTTTCTCTGTCTCTTTTCCCCTCTCCCTCTTATTCTTTTTCTCTCTCCCTCTTTCTCTCTCTTTCTCTCCATCTTACTCTCTCTCTCTTTTTCCCTCTCCCTCTTATTCTTTTTTTCTCTCTTTCTTTCTCTCTCTCTTACTCGCTTTCTTCCTCTTTTTCCCTCTCCCTCTCTCTTGTTCTTTTTCTCTCTTTCTCCCTCTTTCTCCCTCTCTCTTTTTCACTGCCTTTCTTTCTCCCTCTCTCCTTCTTTCTCTCCTCCCTCTTTTTCTCTCTCTTTCTCTCCATCTTACTCTCTTTCTCCATCTCTTTTTCCCTCTGCCTCTTTCTCTCTCTTTCTCTCTTTCCCTCTTTTTCTCTCTCTCCTTCTTTCTCTCCTCCCTCTCTTTTTCCCTCTTTCTCTCTATCTTACTCTCTTTCTCTGTCTCTTATTCTTTTTCTCTCTCCCTCTTTCTTTCTCTCTTTCTCTCCATCTTACTCTCTCCCTCTCTTTTTCCCTCTCCCTCTTATTCTTTTTCTCTCTCTCCCTCTCTTTCTTTCTCTCCCTCCCTCCTTCTCTTTCTCTCTCCCTCTTTTTCTTTCTTTCTCCCTCTTTCCCCCCTCTCTTTTTCTTTCTCTTCCTCTCTTTCTTCCTCTCTTTTTTCCCTCTCCCTCTCTTGTTCTTTTTCTCTTTCTCCCACTTTTTCATTCTGCCTTTCTCTCTTTCTCCCTCTCTCTTTTTCTCTCTCTTTCTCTCCATCTTACTCTCTTTCTCTGTCTCTTTTTCCCTCTCCCTCTTATTCTTTCTTTCTCTCCCCCTTTCTTTCTCTCCCTCCCTCTCTTTCTCTCTCCCTCTTTTTCTTTCTTTCTCCCTCTTTCATCTCTTTCCCTCTTTCTCTCCCTCTTACTCTCTCTTTCTTCCTCTCTTTTTTTCTCTCCCTCTCTCTTGTTCTTTTTCTCTCTTTCTCCCTCTCTCTTTTTCACTCTCTTTCTTTCTTTCTCTCTCTTTCTCTTTCCCTCTCTTTCGCGCTCGGTCTAAAACTGTAGGAGAGTCCATCTGTATGTATGTGTATGCGCGCAGAGCTCGCACGCGCCTCTTTGTGTTTGTATGTGTGTGTGAGTGTGTAAAAAGGCCGTCTCCTGGTGTAGGCTGCCCGGTCACCTAGGTAACAGGAGGACGGGCGAGGCGATTGGCTGACGGCTACCATGGCAACAGCCGCAGCATCCTACGGGCATGGACCAGGGACGGGAGGGAGGGAGGGGAGGGAACGAGGCGGAGCTGTTTCAGGGAGAGAAGACACAGCATTGGGGCTGATCGAGAAATGTTGTTGCTTCGCGCGCACACACACAAACACACACACACACAAACACACGAGGGTGGGGAGAAGAGCGGAGAGGCATGGAAACAAGAGGAACAGACACTGGAGACAAGGAGCTGTGTGCATAAACAAACCAAGATGCACGTTGCGTGGGTGAAGGCAAACCAGGTGTTATGGGGGTTGAGATGTGTGTATGGGGAGGGGGGTGAATTGCAAGGAGGCAAGCAGGCTTTTTCGGGGGGGGGGTTGCATTCAAGCAGAGCCCCCACCCCACCCCAATGCAGCAATCATTCCTTTTTGAATTTCTTCCTTTTCGCCTTCCAAGGCGAATTTTGGAATCTACACGTAGCCCTCGATTTACGACCCCCCAATTGAGCCCGACGTTTCCGTCGTTAAGCGAGAGACATGGGTTGAGGGGAGCTTGGCCTCATTTTACGACCTTCCTTGCCTCGGCTGTTAAGTGAATCCCTGCAGTTGGGAGGTGGCAAAGCGAACCGGGCTTTCCCCATGGATTTGGCTGGATGGGAGGTCGCCAAAGGGGATCGCGTGACCCACCGAGACCGTCGTAAACACGAGTCGGTTGCACCAGGCGTTGGAATGTTGATCCGGTGATGCTTTTCATATCTTTTCAGATCCCCTCCTACCCCCTAATCAGGCCACACTCCCTCCCTCTCTCTCTCTCTTTCACACTCTTTTTCTCTTTCTCCCTCTTTCTCTCCTCCCTCTCTTTTTCTCTCTCTTTCTCTCCATCTTACTCTCTTTCTCTGTCTCTTTCCCTCTCCCTCTTATTCTTTTTCTCTCTCTTTCTTTCTCTCTCCATCTTACTCTCTCTCTTTTTCCCTTTCCCTCTTATTCTTTTTCTCTCTCTTTCTTTCTCTCTCCATCTTACTCTCTCTCTT